CTAGAGGTCATCTAGTCCAACCCCCCTGCATACGCAGGGTCACCTAGAGCACGTGGCACAGGACTGCGTCCAAGCGGGTTTTGAAGATCTCCAGAGAAGGAGACTCCACAACCTCTCTGGGCAGCCTTTTCCAGTGCTCTGTCACCCTCACTGTTAAGAAATTTTTCCTTAAGTTCCTGTGGAACTTTTGGTGTTTCAGTTTCCGGCCATTACCTCTAGTTCTGTCAGTGGCCACCAGTGAAAAGAGGCCAGCACCATCCTCCTCACTCCCTCCCTTGGGGTACTTATAGACACTGATCAGGTCTCCTCTCAGCCTTCTCTTTTCTAGGCTGAACAGGCCCAGCTCTTTCAGTCTTTTGAGCTTCATTTGTATTGCAATAAGCAATCTGAAATCCAACCTTTAAGTCCTTGAATGTTAAAACATTCTCTCTTGCACAAAAATGATTTTAGAATGAACATATAGAACATGCAGTGGTAAGATGTCTGGAATTGCTGTTACAAATGGTTACACATAATCAATATATAGTCTCCTACCATTATAAATTTTCTCCAGCATATCTTCTGCTTTCAGGTCATCAAAGCATCTGACTTCAAATCCGAGGTCTTTCAAACTATCATCAAAAGAGATCAGTATTAGTAAAAATCTTTTCTTGAGTTATGTGTGCCAGTTGCTTTTATTTTGAGAGAACAAGTATCTAATGGGATTATTTATGATAAAACAGCTAAACTTGGCTTTAAATCCAGGCTAGCTTTAAGTACAGGTGTAATGACTAAAGTTGTTTAGAACCTTTTTCAGAAGAGAGGTCTGGGACTCATTGAAATCCATTAGACTTGCACTTGCAGTTTCAGTGGCTTACAGGAATGTGACTTGAAGCTTTTTTTATCGTGGCTATCTTTGCAGACATAAATGCCTATACAAGCTTGGCAACATGTTTTGTTCTCTAATTCCACCTAGGATCTGGGCGATTGCTTCTTTGAAGTAGGTTTCTGAAGTTATGTTTCTTAAGCTTTTCTGGAGAAACCAAGTTTCTTACCTGCGTGTCAGATTCTGTTTGTCTGCATTAGTCCCGCGTCTGTCTGGCAGCCTTAAATGCCAAAAAAAGTGCTCATGATTGAAAATTAATGCAACTCCTCTTCTTTGGTGGTTCATTTTGTATTGCTCCGCAGGGTCAAGTGTGTGTCTGTTGCCAGAGATAGAAAACATTCTTAATAAGTGAGTTAATGGCTAACTGAGTTCCCTATCTGTTCTCCCACTAGCTGAGATCTTCATAACTGACTAGAGACTATGAGGATGCAGTTTCAGGAGATGGAACCTTACCACCTGTAATGTTTCATAAAAAGCCTGATCACTAGGTCTTTTTGAAATTCTTGGTCACGTAAAGCAATTAAATAAAGTGCTGGGTGTGTACTAGACTCTGCCAGGTAGAGTTAAATAATTGCTCTAAAATAATCTGTATTGTCACCTGCCAGAAGGCTGTCTCATTAGTATAAAACACAGAACGGTATAGAAAAAAGGTATGTTTAAAATGCAGGTACAAATCTACATGTTTTCTATTTAGCTAAGTACTATTAATAGCATAGTTGGATTAGATATATATATATATTTGGAAATGTCTGAGCTTTGTTTTCTGTGTTCTGAACAAAAGCAGCACAGAGGATTGTGATAGAACATTACAGAGTGCATTCTTGAACTCAAAAGGTCCTTTCCAGACTTTAGCATGGCTGCATTTAGGGGGAAAAAGTAGACAAAAATCTTACTGCTTCTGTTGACAGAGGTTATAATGCAGCAAAAAGAAGCCGAAATGTTTTTGGCAGTAGCTAGTGCTATATGTGCACAGAATGACAGTCCAGGTCTTGTTTCCCTAGATCTGGTTCTAGGCAAAGCTGTTATTTTGTCATATTGCTGGATGTTTTTCGTTTGTTTGTTTTTTACTGTGGAATGTTCCATTTTGGTGTCTTTCCTGGGCAGAGAAATGGCTTAAAATATTTGAAGGGTGTAAAAACTAGAAGGGTAGTTTTTCTAGGGCTAAATACTGTTTTAAGGTGGACTGTTAAAAATTTATGGAATCATTATCCCATTGTCTTGGTTGTCTTGTCATGGTCTTTGGACATTGCCTACATAATAGGACTCGAATCCCATTCCAATCCCCTACATAGCCTCATGAAAAGAAGGCTAGCTCTACATCTGGTGTAGCTAGAATTAGGGACACAGTGGGTAAGTAAATCGAATTGAGTGAACAGTTCAGTTGCATGCTTAAGAAGCACCAGAAAACCCTGAACTGTTGGCCATACCACAGCCTTCTCTCATTGCCATCATAACTTTACCTTTTAGCAAGTGCATCTACTTCTGTGATGTTCTGATTTCCATCTGTTAGAGAGACCAAAAAGTGATTTGGCTGCCAAATCAATCAATCAATCATTAAAACTGAACAAGGTGAACATGTGCATTCAGCTACGTAATTTGGCTGTTGGTGCGAAAGAAAAGCTCGTTCACAACTCAGGTAATTAGATTTGTGGTTGAACTGTTTCATTAGCATTCGTCTACATGCACAGCTTTTGGAAGTTGTTCTTAAAAGTCATGACTCCAACAGCTGTATTGTAGAATCTGAGATGTATGGAAGTAATATATATAAATTAGGTACATGCAGTCCTGATCTATGAATATGTAAAGTACCAGCTGGCTGTATTTATTTAAACAGAGTCTCTTTAACTCAACAGTAGTTACGATTTTACATACATAATCTTAAAATACACTTTTTAAAAATTATTTCTGTAATGCAAATACTGCAAAACTGAGTATTCTCTTTAAAGTTGGATGCAGCATATATAAGTCACAGCAGGTACTGTAACAGTATTTGTATCTAACAAAAATTGAAAATATGCAAGTTTTACACCTATTCTGCTAAACTGTGTAGATCACATTAGTATCTCCAGTAACAGAATGACATGCATGTAGACACTGTAGGAACATGCTTGTCCTGGGAATAATCAGAGCAAAGACTTGCAAGTGGTTCAACTATTATTTCTTACACTCAAACATCTCAGTGGGCTTAAGATCTCAGCTGCTACTACAGCTGCTGGAAACCTAACTGCCATGTTACAAAAACTATGTAATATAGTGTACCTGTGGTGGTTAATACAGGTCTACTATCCAACTGGACTTGGCCTGCAATTAGAAGAGAAGACATGGTTACATTCACACATGCATTTCCCTGCAATTTTATATGCACGATTCTGCCTTTTGCTATTTCTTCTGTGTTTTTCACAACTGATTAAAGCCTTGTAAACCAAACTAAGATAGATATATACTGATAGAAAGGAAAAGCTTATAACAACGTTAGAATAAACTTTCAGAAATCTAGAATGGATTTCAGAAGCTTATCGACAGGCTGCCATAAGAAAGAAGACAAGAGGTACAACTCCGTGGAAATTTAATCCTGTAAGGATGAGTGCCATTATTTATATGTAAACTGCATATTTGCAGGTACTCATCATGCTGTCGGCTGTTAGGAGTTATCGTAAGTATCAGCAGTGATCCGATACATGACAGAATCCATTTCCATTTGATGAAAACGTAACAAGTAGATCACACTAATGATAGGAGAAGTGCTGAAGCGTTAAGTGTGGATAAAACACAGCCTCTGTGCTTGGGACTCATTTTCTAATGTGAAGCAGAAATCTTTGTATGTTTAAGTTCACACTGTATTTATGCTTATATTGTTAAAATGTGGCTGATGCTTATTAGTCAATTAAAACAAAAACAAAAACAAAAAAACACCTAACAGGCCTTAAAAACATTATAGTCTTTGAAATTTTTAGCCAGAAAATGCTGCCCTGTGGACACAGAAAAACACAGTATTCCTAACTATGCAGGGCCTAAGGATACAGGGTAGAACATATTTTTTCTTGCTCTTTTAATCTTGTTTAGCCAAATTCCAGTCCTTAGATTTTCATTGCCGATGTCCATATCACAGCTTTGTTCAAAGAATACTATTTAAACCTTAAAAAAAAAAAAAAGTATTTTATGGAGAATTTTCTGTTTAAGGTCTTAAACCTTGTGAAGAGGGATTGAGTTAAGAAAAAAGAAAAAAAAAAGGGGGCATGTACTTTTGACTGGATCACAGTGGGATCTGATAGAACATGTTTCCCTGGATACATTTTAATCTCTTAATTGCACTTCATAACACACCTGGCATTCTGGCCAAAGGCCATGGAGACTTGGACTTGGAGAAAACATGAGGAACCAAACTGAACAATGAGATACAAGCCTAAAACCATCCTGAGGAACAACAACAACAACAACAAAAAAAGGCTGGCAGTTACTGCCAAGGAAGAAAAGGGCGTTTTATGGACGCCAGCATTGCTTCTTCTTATGAAAATGAGTGCCAAGGGCTGCAAATGTAGAACATACAAACACATAAGAGGCCTTGTGCGGCGGCATTTCACTATGTGCACAGCCGCCTCAGTGCCTCGTGCAGCGCCTGGGGGGGAACCCACCACAAGGACAGTGTTCAGTGCAGACCCTCGGGCAGGGTCTGCAGCAGATGCACCAGCTGCTGGCTAGGCTGGTACGTAGCATGTCTTTCCCTCTCTCTGCTAAAGTTTTCCTTCTGCTTAGCCATGGACATGGGCGTCAGGACCTAGGAGAGAAGCGGGAGCTTCCGGAGGCTCCGAGCTGTGTCCCAGCCGCCTCCCTGCAGCCCTGCTCTCAGAAACGGGGCGCGATCAGGACCTACACTACCGTTCTGGGCATCGCCTGTGTGCGCACAAAGGTAAATTCATTTAGCGCTGGAGCACTTCGAGTTTTCTCTCCCTTTGTTGGACGTAAGGATTCCCCTTTATTAACTCTACTGAGTTCAACTTGTCACAACACGTAAGCCCTGCGGCGATCGGTCCCGAGGGCTTGTGGAAAGAGAGGCCGGGCGGCGCGGGCGCCCTTTGCCGCGCTCCGCGCCCCGAGGCGAAGTCCGCGCTGCGGCGCCGCGGGCACCGGCGCT